TTATTTAACTAATAAGATGCCTAAAAGTGTTTGTTTGATATTTCCTGCATCTTTACAACATTGTTAGTTGATTATGTAAAAAACATGGTAAACTTGTTATCATGTATTGTGTAATAAAGTGTCAAAAATGGAAATAAACTCATATCATTGCAGTTTGTCAGATTCAATCATCCACTATGTTCAGAATCTCAGAATGGAGGAAATTGGACATTTAACACTGTTCTATTGATACTTTTCCCATCTCATCAATTTTCTTAGTTGGACATATAAAAATGGCAGTAAAATGTTTATTTTGTTTTATGTTAAAAAAGTGTTAAAAATGGAAATAAACCCATTTCAGAACAGTGCTGTCTTGTTTACATTTTGGCATTATCAAGGCGTGACTTTGAAGTTCCATGGGCCTGAAGACCTTTGCTAGTCACATTTTCTGAATATCTGTGATACAAATATTTTATAATTAAAAATTGATGGTCATTAAGCTGTTAAACATTATGTAATATTGCATCAAAATTTGAAGAAACCCCCATTTTGGGCACTGCTTCCATGATGACCATTTAAGGAAAATCATGTCACTTACTGTTCTCAAACTTACAGGATAGAAACATGGAACTAAAATACAGCTTCAGTAGGCAATGCAGTCTGTTTGGTTATTATTGCATCAAAATTGACAAAATGACCTTTTTTGCATCTTTATTTTCTGTTTTTTGTCTGTACATTTGACAGCTTTGCTGCCTTGTTTAAACCATTCTAACCTTTAGACAGAGAATAATCTACTTAAAATTGAATAACTGCTGTCAAAATGTATGCAACAGTGCAGGAATAAGTTAAATGGAATTGTTCTCATTATTACATGAAAAATGGAACTTATGGATGTACAGGGAAAAGTGATATCTAGCATTCTACATGCATGTCCTTGAGGTCCATTGAGTGAGTGTCATTTTGGTGTCCAGATGTACATGAATTCACCAGAATGAAGTGATGTGAGTTATCAATGTACTCAGAAAAATTCAGCATTTACGTTTTTTAAATTATCTGGAATTTAGTATTATATTTGAGGTGGTGAGAAGCTGCCCCATTTTGCCACTAGTTTATGAAACATCTATAAAATCGGGTTTTTCTGACTTCTCTCATACATTTTAACATTCCCTAAGATAGCTCAAATAAGAGCCAACAATCATATCTGAAGGAACGTAATGATCATAAATTTACTGTTCAAAAAGGAACAAAACAATATTTCCATGATAAACATACTATATGTGGTTCTGGGTCTTTGGGGTAAGAGTGAACTGAACCGCATGTATGGGGTGACGGTCTCTATGGGGTTGAAAAGTGATGAGCATTATTTAATGAGCATGTTTTTTCCTTTCAGAAGAACCTAAGGAAGTGTATGAGATGATTCTGTCCATAGCAGAAAAACTTATTCCTTCCAAATTACAACTGGGCCTTCTCAAGTTTTCATTATCATTAAGATCTTATTCACCAGCTGCAGAAATGCATAATCAGGTGAGTAAACAGAAATGTCTTAACATTTATATGTTCAGGTATGGTAGTATGTGCACATATTGTCGTCCTGTAGATCCATCCAGGCCCAAAGCTAAGCTGAAAGTTATTGTTATTTAAAATTATATTCCTACACTTAAATTCTATCAGCCATTTGCAGCTTACTACAGAACTTGATAAAAACACTTTCTTCGCAGTCAGGTTTCAGCTCTTGCTTACCTCTGCTTTCATCTCCAGCTTGATGTGGCGATGCGATCACACAGTCAGAATATCCATGAAAGCTCACTTGATTGTGGGTACCTAGATAACTCATTCAGTTGTCACATTCTTCAAGTTCAGAAAGTTTACACCACTTTGATGATGATCTCTCTCATTTCTACTGGATCTAAGTGTACTGCTGCAGATAGACTTTTTTCCTATCTTTTCAGTCCAGCATCTCCTTCACTTACTCTGCAATTTCTGATGATTTTGAACTTTCAAAGCAGTTTTTATGTACAGACACAGATGTGTCTGTACATATAGCCGTCACCTGTGTCTGCTGTCGCCGTGCACTTTTACCGATAACACAATACGGTAATATGCCAAACAATTCGACCAAGATTGATTAATTAATTTCATGGAAATGTCATTTTGGTCGAATTGATTAAAATATAGCAATGGAAACCTTTGATATCGTCAGATTGTTTGGGGCATCTGCCAAAACGTCCATCTTACGGAAGTATTACATTTTACCCAAAGTGTTACACAAGATAAGCCGCAATTTTCGCCTAACACGTCTTTCAGGCACGTTTTATCCTCCTTTTGAAATCTTATTTTGCTGTGTACAATATGTGCTAACATTACTTAACATTCAAACAGACGACAGTTATAATTTCTATCTATTTATTTCCCTCTTCTACGATCATTTACATGATGCGCTTCACAAGTGGGACAAATATTTCCCCGGAGACAGGTGTTGTAAACAATGCCCGGTCACTTATATTTGAAACCGGCAGCTTTAGTGGACTTAAACTAGTTATGTGATCTACGTATGCCCTATTTGAATTTTAATATGACAACTAAAATCAACCGAATAGAAATTTTTTTACCAGTCTGAGATCAGTTGTTTTCAAATCGCAAGGCTTCCTCGGCGTCGAGGCGTAGACGTATGTACTTCCGAAGAAAATTCAATCACCCCTATCAAAGAATACCAACTGGTACTCAAACGGAATCCAGTGTAACTTAAAATTACTTTTAAGTATTTAATTTAAAAAGCATGTCATATTGAAATATATTGAGAAAAGGCAAACTATGGAGTCTACCTGTGCCGATAGACATATGTTGTTGGCACTCTTCCGATTTTCTTACTTATATACACTCCCTGTGCACAAAAATAACGGTGCATATTGAAAACCCCACTGATACAACCTGAACGTAAAATAAGCATTTAATCGCCATAATTTTCACAAAACAAATGCATTTATAATTTGACGTGAGGATTGAGCACACACAGAAATGAGAGACTGGTCTTATCTGGTCTGCTCCAGCATACCTAGCACAAACCACATGTTAATAAAGACGGTCCCATTGTGGGGGAGGAGGTCACAGGAATGGAGTTCTTCATGGATTATGCTAAATAATATCAACATTTCATGCATCTGGAGAAATAAAAAGTGACTCACAGGTAACCTAAATACCCAGTGGGACTCTCTGGGAAGCTCCCAAGGAGATAAGGAATACACCATTTTTATTGTTGACAAATCAGTTATCCATGTAGGTGAACAGCTAAATGTGTTTGTCAGATTTTGACAGCGCGTGGTATTTGGCGCCAAGAAGTCTGGACGGTCGATCCCGCTGATTTTTCGGTCGATTGTAGTAAATGCAGTGTTGACTTTAAGAACATTTCCCCATCTGCATATATATTTCAGTGGATTCAGGTGTATGTCAAGTCTGTATCTTGTCCCCAATTCTCTTCCTTGTAACCATCCACTGGGTCATGAGAAAGACAACATCCGACAAACCCAGAGGCATCCAGTGGACTCTCCTATCCCAGCTAGAAGACCTTGACTTTGCCGATGACCTTGCCCTCCTGTCCTCCAAACACAGCCATCTCCAGGAGAAGACTGACCGTCTGAGTAGCTTTGCTGCAGGACTTTTCATCAGCACCACCAAAACCCAGGTCATGTGCATTAACAACAGTACGACAGCACCTATCACCGTCATTGGGAAACCACTTGTGTCTGTCGACGACTTCACATATCTGGGAAGTCTAATCAGCAAAGACAACGGGGCTCAGAAGGACATCAGGACAAGACTTGGCAAGGCCCAGAGTTCATTCGCCAGACTCTGCACAATCTGGAAGTCAGAGCAGTACAGCTTACACACCAAAGTCCATCTTTACAACAGCAATGTGAAGTCTGTTCTGCTCTACGGGTCTGAATGCTGGAGAGTTACTAAGTCTGCGTGAGCAGAGTAGAGTCCTTCCATAACAGGTGTCTCCGCAGGATCTGCCGCATATTCTGGCCAAATAAGATCTCCAACCATGACCTGTACATACTGACAGGGAGCCAGAGTATTGTAGGGCAGATCAAGCGACGGCGATTTAAATGGCTCGGCCATGTACTTAGGATGGACGAGAACCGAGTACCAAAGGTAGCTTTGAGATGGACACCACCTGGAAAAAGAAAGAGAGGAAGGCCCAAGACCACCTGGCGCCGAACAGTGATGGCAGAGCTGAGGGAGGGGGACCTTACATGGGGACAGGCCCAGCACGTAGCCGGAGACAGGGCCAAATGGAAAGAAGTGACTGTGGCCTTATGTCCCACACGGGACGAAGAGCACTGATGATGATGATATATATTTCAATCGAACTTGAAAATAAATTACTTATTTTTCCCGAACTTTTTATCGCTAGCAAATGCTATATATGGTCTGTATGAAGGTATTTACGACATATTCTACCCACTGTCGATATTTGGTTGCATCCAGAACAGACCTTTTTTTATTCTTCAAAATCCCCCCCCCCCCCCCAAGTTACGGCATTAGTCAGCAAGGGCAAGTCTGCTTAATTAGCACAAATTGTATGTCTATAAGCAATTTTAATTGTCATCGGGGACAAAGGAAATGACAGGTATGTCACGCTTCCAGATTAGATTTTCAATTAATTGTTTCTTCCTCATTGACGAGAGCTATTGAAAGGAAAAAAATTGACAAAGGGTCGCGACATGCAGCATCTATTTCACTGGCTTGAAAATTTACCCGAGTCTCGCCGACGATGTGGTCTAACAATCAAAACAAGAAAAAAATTCTGTCACATGATTTTGACGTATGGACTAAATGTTTGAGCCCAGAAAATTAAATTTTATAATATAATTTTTTTGGTCGGATTGACTGGTGCCTGTCAAAATGCTTGGCACATTACTGTAAGTGAAAACCATTTTTTCTTTTGGATTGAAAATTACAAAACTGATGAATATTCATTATATGCAGGTCAAGTTCGAAAATCAGCATAATCAGGCCATTTTTAGGTAAGTTATGCTGTTTTTTTCACTTTTTTCAGCATTTATACAACACCGATAACATAAGTGAAAAACCGTTTTACCTTTTGGCTTGAAACTTACAGAACTGATAAATATTTATAGTACGTGGGTCAAGTTTTTGCTTTGACAACATATTTTTATTGATCATATTAAAAATGACAGTAAATTGATTATTTTGTTTTATGTAAAAAAGGTGTTGAAAATGGAAATAAACTTTTTCAATACAGTTTTTTCTTGTTTACATTTTGGGATTTTCAAAGTGTGACTCTGAACTCTATGGGCTAGTTACATTTTCTGAATATACATGATACTTTTATTTTATTATTAAAAAATTTATGGTTATTATGCTGTTAAGCATTGTGTAATATTACATCAAAATTGAACAAAACCCTATTTTGGGCACTGCCTCCTTGGATTGATCCTGTTAGATTGATCTAGGTATGGGAACTTGTTCTGATGCTTGTTACACATTTTACTTTCATCCTAATCAACTGTTTTGCAGAATTAAAATTTGATGTTGGCTACGCAGTTGAGCATAATACATTATTGCATCAGAATTGACAGTATCCTATTTTCTGCATTTTTATTTTCTGCTTTTTGTCTGTACATTTGACAGCTTTGCTGCCTTGTGTTTAATAAACATTACTTTATCCACAAGATAATTTCCCAGAGGATTATTTTATCTAATGAAAGTGTTATCCAATGGATAGCACTATCCAGTGTTGATGAAACTGGGCTTACATGTTTCCAAATGTAGGTGATAATTTCCGTCAGTTCTTTATTGCATTTAGTTTGAAGGAAAATGTATAGGCAGTTTCAGTGTTGCTGCCACAGTGGTAATATTAAAGTAAAGGCTGATTTGTAGCCAAGGCATTTTGAAAATCCTTTCATACAAGCATCCGTTTTATTCTAATCTTCATCAAATTGAACAATTTTAGGATATTTAAAAGACATACAATATGCATTTGTCCTTCATATAAAAGTATGATTAAATATTAAATATATCAAGTTTACAATATGTAAAATGGCTATATCAGAATGTGTCTTGCATATTCTTTGCAAAATATGTCTGTCAATTTGCTTTTGAATTTGCAGGTGGAATACTCTGAATATCCTCCTCACTCTGTCCTGGATTTCCCTGCTGTTGTCCTGGATTTCCCTTGTGTTATTCTGGATTTCCCTGCTGTTGTCCTGGATTTCCCTAGTGTTGTCCTGGATTTCCCTGTATGATAGCAGATTTGACCACTACATTGGTAAATGAGGGTAAGCTTGGTGCACCTACATGAATATGTAATTAATGCATCAGAATACAAAAGGCAGTAAACTGTTAACTGCTTTTCTTAATGATAAATCTATTTTAAAGTTCAATTTGTCTTTGATAAAAAGGAGGAGATACACTCTGTACATATTGGTCACTCTCACTGAATACATAATTAATAGCAGCATATTTAGGGTAAATGTAATTTTGCAACTATGAAATGGCGTGGGTGTGGTCTACAAATTAGTACTCTTTTCTTATTCCATAAAATATGGCATGAATTTACACAACCACACAAATTTGTCTAGGCATATTTTATCACAAGAAGACAGTACAGTCTTGTTCTTCACACCCTTTGTTTCTGGTCTTTTTGGTCTTTTTAAGAAATTTAAGCTATGCCCTGCACCAGCTGGTGGTACAATACTTAGAGGTGGTATTGCCTCTCTGATCCTCTAGTTTTTTTTTTTTTTTTTTTTTTCTTTACAGTTTTTTGGCTGTGAGGTTAGAATTATAATAGAATCAAAATCAGTCCAGTTATATTTATCTGTAGTGTAAATGCTTGAATACTTGACTTGTATACAAAACGTCCACATAATTTGACTGCAGTCACAGAAATCTCAGGTCACATACTGTAGATGGCTTCTTTTATTGATTTGGAATTGTAAAACAGATTTGTGTTCAATACATACCTATATTATTTTATTTTAATTAAAGACCATACATGAAGCTCAGAGGGGAAGATAAGGATTGGACCAAGGGGTAAATGAAGACCTCAAAACAAAAAGATGGACATAGCTGTGGCCTCTTTGTTTTACTTGTGAGTCAAGTTTTGACATTTTCATGAAAATTATATTTATTATTGCATTGTAAGCCAACTGGAATTATATGAGGGAAAATATAGAAATCCTGTTTTCTTTCATTAAGGCATATCTAGAGTAAAAAGTATACTTTTAAACAACTAAGAAGTAATGGTGATTGATTGACTGCTTGATATTCTCATTATGAAGCGTTTCATATTGAAGGTTTTTATAATATTGAATGTTTTTAATAAACTCATTTCAGAATGCCCTCATTCTGTCCAGGGGTACAGACTTGGAAGTTTACCAGTATCAACTTTGATACTGCCAACACGAGGAACCATGTGCAGTTAACTTTTCTTAAAAGTAACTTATACACTGTATTATGTATTATATATTATAACTTGCAAAAAAATGGCAAGTATATATTGGTCTGCTCATTTCATTAATTGATGGATTTGGGTTTTAAAAATCTGTAAATGGGTAACTGGGCAAGAATGAAGCCTGTTGATTTCTTAAAGCTTATGCCTATGTTTAAAACAAGTTCAAAGTTTTGATATTAACATGGGCACAGTGTATTGAATTTTAAAGTCTGTATTTATTAAGTTATGGCCTAATGACACCAAATTGCAGGAAGTGATACTAGGTTATGACATAATTCTTTCAACTTACCAAGTTTCATCCATAAGATCATGTTTTTGTCTATATATGAAAAAGATTTGAAATTTACATTGGAGATCCCAATTGTAATTTGCAACAAATGGGTCATGGAACATACCTAGCACAAAGAGAACAAAAATAATGGTAGATAGAAATGGTGGAATCCAAGTGGCCAAACATAATATTGTATAATAATTATATGCAAGTGTCAAAATTATGAGTTCGTTTTGCCTTGGCAGTCGTGTACTTAAGTTTGAAGGTCTCATGTAAAAATTGAAATGTGTGCATAAGTAGAATTTCTTGCATGTTATTGTACTTGTATGTGTACACGTTCATTGTATTATATATAAACGTATTATATTTATTAGAATTTCCTGCATTTTATTTCATATTTTGAGTTCATTGAATTCTGTATTGTTGTAACTAATCACCACAACATTGATACATCTGATCACAATAAACTGTACATGTACTGGGACATGTGTATACTTGTATGAAGTGTATGTGTACTGGTACATGTGTATACTTGTATGAAGTGTATGTGTACTGGTACATGTGTATACTTGTATGAAGTGTATGTGTACTGGTACATGTGTATACTTGTATGAAGTGTATGTGTACTGGGACATGTGTATACTTGTATGAAGTGTATGTGTACTGGTACATGTGTATACTTGTATGAAGTGTATGTGTACTGGTACATGTGTATACTTGTATGAAGTGTATGTGTACTGGGACATGTGTATACTTGTATGAAGTGTATGTGTACTGGGACATGTGTATACTTGTATGAAGTGTATGTGTACTGGTACATGTGTATACTTGTATGAAGTGTATGTGTACTGGTACATGTGTATACTTGTATGAAGTGTATGTGTACTGGTACATGTGTATACTTGTATGAAGTGTATGTGTACTGGGACATGTGTATACTTGTATGAAGTGTATGTGTACTGGTACATGTGTATACTTGTATGAAGTGTATGTGTACTGGTACATGTGTATACTTGTATGAAGTGTATGTGTACTGGGACATGTGTATACTTGTATGAAGTGTATGTGTACTGGGACATGTGTATACTTGTATGAAGTGTATGTGTACTGGTACATGTGTATACTTGTATGAAGTGTATGTGTACTGGTACATGTGTATACTTGTATGAAGTGTATGTGTACTGGGACATGTGTATACTTGTATGAAGTGTATGTGTACTGGGACATGTGTATACTTGTATGAAGTGTATGTGTACTGGTACATGTGTATACTTGTATGAAGTGTATGTGTACTGGTACATGTGTATACTTGTATGAAGTGTATGTGTACTGGGACATGTGTATACTTGTATGAAGTGTATGTGTACTGGGACATGTGTATACTTGTATGAAGTGTATGTGTACTGGTACATGTGTATACTTGTATGAAGTGAATTAAACATTTGGGAGAAATGCAGTGATGAAATAAGTGAAGGCAGCTTTTTATAAATTCCTTTTTTTTCTTATCAGTGAACTTGAGTACATGTATATACCATACACATGGAGCTATTTCATATTCAGGGAATCAATTACTTACACTTAAAGTTGTATTGAGAAGATGCAAATTTAAGATATTTTATGTATTTTCTAGTTTTGTGGGCATGGCAGGCTTCCTTTAATGTCCTGGCATGGAGGATACTCCAGCCAGTTTTATGCTGTACAGATGTTATAGATAGCTTGATACAGTGGGGAAAATTTCCTTGGCACTATAAGATAAATGAAATACTATAATACAGATATAGGCAAGGTTCCTATTGTCACAGCAGGTAAAGCCCCCGTCACACTTATTCGGAATCAGCAGGAATCAAGCAGAACCAGCCGGAATGACTAAATTAAAAAATCCGTACTATATTCGGGAAGAAATTTCAAATTGACCTAAATTCTTGTAAGAATGCCGTTGGAATACTCAGATTGCGCTTGAATCTGCCTGAAATGATTCTTACACATTTGGGCTGTATTAGTTCTCAAACGCAACTCGAATGTAGTTGGAAAACTAGGAATATCAATAATGCTGTCGGGCCGGCCACAAGAATGGGTTAAAATATTTGGAATGCACTCGGAATTTTTAAAATGCTCTTCGAATATCCAGGAACGCACAAAGAATTGTCTTTCCGACGGCATTCTTGCTCATTTTACCTCTAGTGTGACGGTGGTATAAAGGGTGTTATTCTTTTTGGGTCCTAATTAAGTCTTTAAGCAATGGACCGTTGATGTCCACAGTAAGTGCTATCTAAATTGTTACTGCGCAGACTGTACAATTATTGAAATTTGTGGAATGCACACATGTACATGTAGTGGCTGTTGTGTGGAAGAATAAGATTGAAAATGATTGATACATCTCACACATGCAGTACACATTTACTAGACTAAGTACATTTGAGAAAAGAGCCGCAAGGAACATGTTTGAAAGTCGAAGGTTAATACTTTTTGGAGAACTGATGTTGTTGTCATATACAGTTGCATTTGGTTTGTTGCAGTTTGAACAGTGTTCCTAGAATATTATATGTATGTGATCAGATTGTTCTTTATTTTTTCACAGTAATTATTTGCCATAGAAATTATGTGCATTGTTCATAGTGTGCCCATACCGGACTGAATTTTGTAACAATAAATTATTTATCTGTATGTTTATTTGTTATTGTTTTATACTACAACCATGAAACTTGGAAAACGGGAATAATTGTGGAAGGGGGAATCCCCCATCGCGACTACTGCTACCACATTCATAGTTTTCAAAAGAATTCTTAATTTTACATAACTTATACATCAGTGCCTTGACATAATTCTGAAAATTGAGAAAAGGGTGCTTTTGTAGTTATCATTTTTATATACAGTCACCCAAGTTTGATGACAACATTGACACTACCCAGCAGGCATAGTTGCATTGGATCAACATTGAAAACAGGTTGATACGTTGAATTGCCGTTGATCCAGCCACGTCGAAACACCGTCATAATGTGACGTTGACTCAACGTTGTATTTTGGTCAATGACACAACCTTGCAGTTATGGATTGTAATTTAAAATATTAATTATTGAAAACGTGATACTTTGTTTATCAATACTGTAACTAAATTTATCAAAATAATAACAAAATGGTTTTAAAGTAAAAGTGACAGTTGTTTTGTGTTTTTAGTTAACTAGTGAATTTTCTTAACTTGTTATTCAGAAATACATTCCAATAAACTGAATTGCTCGCAAGCTCAGCTAACACTAGGATGAATAAGTTACTGTAAATGTGATGGAGTTAGCAGTTCTTGGTAACCTGTTATAAATAGACAGGTTGTGACTGTGACTTTGTTATATATATATATATATATATATATATATATAAGAGAACAACTATATATTAATCTAAACCTTGGAAATTCTAACTTAAAGGCCATACATTTATTTAGCCATCAAACATGTCCTACCGCTAAACACATCCAGGCTAATTTCCCGCTGGTTGGGGTTGATATAACATTGTTTTCTGACGTTGATACAACATTGTTATCTGAGGTTGACACAACTTTCAAATCCAATGTTTATTCGATGTCTACTCAACGTTATGGTTCAATGTTGTTTCAACGTTGAAACAACATAATTTGCCCGCTGGGTATTCACTTTAATATGAGCTGCCTGATTATAACGTGCCTTCAACTTCAATGTCATCAGCATATAATGGGACACAAATAGTGCCAACCAGGGTGATCTATGCCTTTTACCAAAAACAAGCCTTCCAAAGACCACTAGGATACTCATGGCTTTAAGCTTAGGTGTTAAAATACACAACTTTGATGGTCTGCATTGAGCATACCTGTAGACAAATATGCATAACAACTAATTGGTGATATTTATTTACAGGGGCGGATTTAGGCCGTCTTCAGGGTCTTCCGGAAGACGGTCAGATTTTCAAGTTTACATTGACAGGTATCTAATTTTTTCTGTTGGAAGACGGTCAAAAATGGAGGATGGATCAACAAAGATAATTTGGAAGACTGTCAGAAAATATCTCTGGATCCGCCCCTGATTTAGGTATATAGAACAGGGAAATGACCATCAAATGGATTTTCTTCAGTCAATAGCTGAAAGACTGCCTTGAACATTCTTCTTTGGAACTGAAAATGCCTGAAAAGTGCAAATAAGGAAGATGTAAATGGTAGCAAGTCTGTTCCTCTTTATCCTGGAGTTCCACTGATGTTGGGTATTTGTTATACTGCATCTGGGAATGTATTTTATTAAACACAAATGTATTATCTAAAACCTAACATTTAAATTTAGGAGTTGTCTTCAAGAATGTCATTTATACAGAATGGCAAGTTAGCAAATGAATTTGGTATAACAAACAATACTGTAAGCTGAAAAAGGAGAGGATTGTGTGGAGAATGGACGAATAAATTTTTTCCAGCCATTTCTTCCTGCTGGCCTCATAGTTGTGAAAGTTTCCAAGGCAGTACAAATTGCCCCGGAAATAAATCTCAATTTGAAAATTCTGCTTCTATAAATCCAATGCTAAACCTCAATTTTGAATAATGCCTGGAAAATGAAAAATTATGCCCGGACTACAGGCGTAACTGAGCAAGAATGAGAAGCAATTTTCTATCTCCTGCTTATTTATGACTGGAATTTTGATTTTACCAATCAATTCCGTCTACTTTCCATCTTCTTTCCATTCAGGTTACACCTGGACTTTTTGTACAGAATGCATTCTCAGCTGTGCCTTGATTTTGTAAGTAGAACATATTCTGATAACTGTAAATCTGTGTTGTCACTGTTTGTGTGTGTTAAAATGAATTTTGATGACTGTGTATATCTCTGTAAGTACTATGAATAAATCCATATCACTGTGCATGTGTTGTCACTGTATTTGTTCCTTTTTTTTTTCAATCACTGTGTGTGCCTACGCTGTTACTGTCTGCATATATTCTTATTTCTGTGTACATTGTGTTGTAACTGTACATGTGTGATAAATATTATATTCTGATCATGTGTGCGGTTTCCCTGGGTATGCACTTATTCACTGTGTACAGTCTTTGTTGTCACTGTTAGCAGTTTTGTTTATTCTGCTTGCTCTTGTAACTGAATAAATTTCTATTTAATATGATCTTTCTTTAAGTCTGTTTTGTCACTGTATGTGTTTCCAAAATATTCTGATTACTGTGTATGTCTGTATTTTCATTCTCTTTGTATTCATTCTGTGTTCTCACTATAAGTTAATTGTCTTACAGTCTTTATTCTAAGTGCTGTGTACTTTCAAAATTTTCACTGTATGTGTCTGATAAATATTATTTTCAGATCACCTTGTATACATATTATTTCTCCTAGAATGTTTGTAATTATTTTGATCACTGCTATGTCTGTATTGTCACTGTATGTGTTTCTATATGTATTTTGATCTTTGCATATGTTTGTGTTGTCACTGTACATGTTTGTTATATTTTGATCACTGTGTATGTTAATTTAGTCACTTTAATTGACTGTTGCTGTTCAACACATGACGTTCACCCCATTACTGC